GACGTAAATATATGAACAGAGATTAAACTTAAAATAGACATGGCTTACGAACTCGACGTAAATATATGAACAGAGATTAAACTTAAAATAGACATGGCTAAAGAACTCGAAGTAAATGTATCAACAGAGATTAAAACACAATGTTTTTTTCATCTCTAATATTCAAATGCTTTCATAGAGTTCCTGGCTGCTTCATTTTAACCCTAAAACTCACAAATTATGCAGGATAAGCTATAAGCGTTAATAGTTTATTGCAGTAGATCACAATGGTAACAGTTGTGTTGACAACACGAAGCCGTATCGCTAGTGGGACATGTTCCCAACGTGTATTGATTTCTGGTTGCTATTTCCCTATCGCTGTAGTATAATTTAATAATAAACAACCCGATGTCATTATTGCTCTCCTCAGTGTTTATATTGACAACCACTTTTTTTGCCCTGTCGCAATCTAAGCCATTTAAAATTAATTTAATTAGCGTGTAACGGGTTAAATAATTGTTCAATGCTGACTTAACAAATAAACGGACCGTATAACTACACGATTGTAGGGCTCCAATCTCAAGGACATATCAGTGCAGGGAAATCCCGTTAAGTCGGTCGGTGCCGTTACCACTGACACAAACGGATCAACGTTATTCCAGATTTCAGAAACAATGTTTTGTTTGTTTGTTTTTGGTTTAACCCCGCCATCGCAACATTCAAGCCATATGACGGCGTTCTATAAATAATCTAATCTAGACCAGTCAATCCAGTGATCAACATCATGAACATCGACCTACACAATTTGATTCGATGTCATGTGTCAACAAGTCAGCGAGCCTGACCACCTGATCCCGTTAGACGTCTCTTACAAGAATGGAAGAAACAGTGTTAAGAGTAGGTCACATATTGACAGTTTCTGCACAAATTGTACTTTTCTTCATAAAGTCATGTATTCAATACGATAGCATGAATTACATTTACTTGAAGTTTGATACCAACCACAATATCCAACCCTCCTATATGACACATATATTCAGCGGTATCGCTCGATCGATGGAGAACGTGCTCCGATGGATATACCATATATAATTCACCCTCCCCAGCATATGGCGCGTAAAAATGCTTCATTAAATATTTACACTTGCATACGAAGATACCCGATAAACATATCCTTGGCAAGCACTCGGACTGAAATGGATTAGCAGCAACCGATCAAGCTGACCCAGATCTGAATCATCCGAAGCGGGGATATAATGAAGGGAGTCTGGGATCACTGGCAGTACGGAATTTGGGAATGCTGATGCATCAGCGTAATTAATTCCTGAAATTGTCAGCCGGAGAAAAAAGTCAGTTAAACCATCTGTAACATCACACAAAACATTCCCGACCAAGTGTTGCACTACAGTTCAACAAAAACAGTCCACGTAATGACTGGCGTAGGCAGATCAAAATGTTGTAAACTGAATGTTTGGAAATGAACGCATGAACAGATATCAATTTATAATACAGTAACCTTTTGTACTCAAACACCAGGTGAAGAGTGCATGTATGCATCGGTACAGAGCACTATATTACTGAGAGGGGTTACACGGTGCTGAAATATCTGTCAGATCCATAATCATATAGTTGGGCTATGTATATGGGACGTTGGGAATACTGGAAACTACGTACATGACGAACTACAGGTTATAACGAACTGACGAATATGACGAACTGTTGTTTAGTTCCGGACACTTGCAGTATATTTTCGATGAAATGTTTATAACGAACTACGGTTATTACGAACTGACGAATATGACGAACTGTTGTTTAGTTCCGGACACTTGCAGTATATTTTCGACGAAATACTTAGAACCAACTACGGCTATTACGGACTGTCGAGTATGACGAACTGTTCTTTGCTTCTAGCCACTTGCTCTATATGTTACTCGAAATGCTTATAACTAACTACGATTATTACGAACTGACGAGTATGACGAACTGTTGTTTAGTTCCAGTCACTTGTTCCAAATGTCAGTCGAAATGCTTATAAGGAACTACGGTTATAACGAACTAGAATTAGTTTTTCCTTTGAGTTCGTTATAACCGTTGTTTATTGTATGTCACCACAGCAACCCAGTGTGGGCGTCGAGATAGCATTGACAGTGCTGATAATGGGACTGGTTTGTTTATCAACATTATGAGAGAGTCTCTTGACAACAACGACTGGTGGCAAAAACTATATCATGAACTAAATTGAATGCTGGACTAGCTCAAAGTATTGATCAGGGGGAGAATGCAATAAGATTGTATCAGTGTACAACAGAAATATAACGCCGCAGAAATATAGCATACGACAAGCATGGGTTGCTGAAGGTACATTCTAACCCGGACCTTCAAGGGTAATGTATGTATAGAAGCAGTGATTATGATAGTGGCAGAATTCTGCAGGGGTGTCACAGACGCTGCTTAACGCCGCACTCAACGATGTTTCAGCTCTGTGGGGATGGTGCATGAAATGGACCAGACAATCCAGAGGTTGATATTATGAACACCGGTTTGCTCGACTGGGATGCAATGTCTTTTATCATCCAAAACTGTGTTCCACAGGACATATCGCTTGTGTGAGATCAGACGATATTTCCTAGGAGATATCATTTTGACAGTAGATTTTGTACAATGCCCTGACAATGCTATGACGTCATGAACTTGATGACGTCACGATACTGTGACATCGCTGCACTGCAAATCTAATGTCAGTCCAGTGTTCAAAGATGTACATTTTTCGTTGAAAACTAATGAAGATGGATTTTTGATGATAAATAGAATCTCACCCTCGTGTCTTCTGATATCAAATATATCAACACTCGTTGATAAAAGTAAAAATATCCTCGGCAAGCCTCTGATATTTGTTACTTTATCAACTCGTGGTGATATATTTGATATCAAAAGACACTCGGATGAGATTCTCTATGTATGAACCAAGTCAGCGAGCCTGAACACTACTGCATTTGCAACAGTGTCGTAATGTGTTGGTAGTAGCAGACAGACAGAGAGACAGACAGCACCGTAGTGCATCCTAGTAGTAGCAGGAATATGCTAGAGTGGCAGCGGTAGCACATAGTGGTGTAGGAGCAGCAGTGGTAATGTATGGTGATAGTAGCAAGAATATGCAGGAGTGTGTATTACTATAAATGTAGTAGTAGTACTAGTAATAGTAGTAGTACTAACAGCAGTGGCAGATGCAGTTGCAGGAATACATTGTTAGTAGTAGAAATAGTGAGTGAGTGAGTATGGTTTTAGCAATATTCCAGCAATATCACGGCGGGGGACACCAGAAATGGGCTTCACACATTGTGCCCATGTGTGAATTCGAACCCGGGTCTTCGGCGTGACGAGCCAACGCTTTAACCACCAGGCTACCCCACCGCCCCAGTAGAAATAGTAGTAGTAGTAGTAGTAGTAGTAGTAGTAGTAGTAATAGCAGAAACAGCATTAGTAGTAGTAGTAGCAGGATAGCTGGCGCTACAATGTAGTGTAAGAGAAAAAGACAGGACTATACATGAGCTGCAGCAGGAATTCGTAGTAGTAGTAGTAGTAGTAGTAGTAGTAGGAATTGCAGAAGCGTTAGTTGCACAATATAGTGATAGTTGCGGGAATATGCAGGAGTTGCAGCGATATCATATAGTGAAGGTAGCAGGAATATGAATGAGTTGCAGCAGGATTAGAAAGTGAAAGTAGCATCAAGCTGCAGCAGGAATACGTAGTAATAGTAGCAGGAATAGACGGGAGCTGCAGCAGTAGTATTCCGAATTAGTACAGATCAGACCGGGAATATGCGGGAGCAACAGCGGTGGCATGCAATGGTAATATAGTGGATTGGAGGTAAAGTCTCTGGAGTACTTAGTGCGAGCATTAATAGTACATGCATGGAGACCAATACAGCAATACAGATAGAATGTGCTGGTTCATCGAAAACCTTACAACAGTAACAACAGGTAGCGGTGGATGAGACTTGGGTAGTTGCAGGGGTGACGCGAGACGTCCAGGAAGGCATCCCTGGTACACCTTGACCAGAGTATGATGATACCGATGCTGGAGGTACAACAGCTGATTGTACTCTTCGACTGACGTACCCGACTTAATCAAGTTACCATAGTAACCATTATTTTGCAGTTACCATAGTAACCAGTAGCTCAGAAGTAACCTCTGTGTCACGTGTGGTGATGAAACGAGGTTCGGGAAATATTTAACTAACACTTGAAGTCTTTGGGCGTGGTAGGTTCCGTGTTCTCAGAGCAAGTAATTGTTCAAACATTTACATTACCAACGCGCCTTTGATTAAACAAATCGCTTTAAATGCGTTTTGATAAGGATATTAGTTTGGGTTTATCGTCAATTAAAAAATAATAAAATCCGGTTAAATTCTGTCACTCGTATGTGTACATGAACTAAACAAAAATTCATCAAGTTGTTTACTTAAAACTTAGGATTTAGAAAGCGGGACTACAAGGTTGTGGCATGAAAATGAATTTATTCCGTTGGTTGGTGACATGGTGAAAAACAACTAAATTGGTTGCATAAAGGTTGAGAAAAAGGTTTCTTTCAATCCGTCAGCCAAACTATCCACAAGACTGGGACATTCTCTTTGGCACAAATCTTATTTGACTCGTGTAATAAAAGAGTAAATTGTGCTGAATCAGTCATGCACATAATCTGTGCATTAAAAGCTGGAAGATCAAGTATGTCACAGAAAACATTATAGTCGTTGCAAATCAACATCACAGATGTTGCAATCAACATCACAGGCGTTGCATTCAACATCACAGACGTAGCAAACAACATCACCAACGATGCAATCAACATCACAGATGTTGCAAGCTCCATTTCAGATGTTGCGTTCAACATCACTGACGTTGTAATAAACATCATAGACGTAGCAAACAACACCACGGACGTTGCAAACAACATCCAAATGTTGCAATCAACATCTCAGACGTTGTAATCAACATCACAGACGTTAACAACAACACCACAGACATTGCAAACAACATCCAAATGTTGTAGCCCAACATCAATGACGTTGTGGTAAATGCAGTAAATGGTTGACTCACACATTCAAACTGCATGTACGAGGTGTCACGTGACATGGTCATGTGTTTCATGCTGAAATCGACACCTTCACATGTGTTGAAATTAACAATCTACATACATACGCCATATTGAAATCAGCAAAGTTCATGACCATCACGTTACATGATGTGGTTTCCATGCATTCATTGGACCATAGGTTGACAAACATTGCAAATAGGTCCACATACCTCACGGGAAGTAAAGATCACTTTGGCGTAGAAGAAAGGTATCAAAACAGGTTGTAATGAATCTATACTTCGATTATAGTGATCAGTGTCAAATGTAATGCGTGCGAAATGTATCAAGACTCAATGAATAGTTGTAATTACACAGCCAATTCGATACTAGGAAATTCTATTTGAAACTTAAAACGTCACGATATAGAGACCTAGTGTAGGGAGACATGCAAAGTCAACTAGTATGTGCATTATGGTGAACGTACAGGCATTTATAATAGAAGACAAAGGTTGGATTCAAAGTACAGCCAGATCATCCTGGTCCACAGCATTATCTTAGTTTCAAAATAATCACAAAGATAGTATTATGGACAGGTAGGTAGACCCGTGGGACTTTTCAAGGACATGCCACATGGTGACCACATCATGTTTGTTGCAACGTTAAAAGAAAACAAAATGTCATTTGAAAATGTCAATAAGAGAGTTATCAACAATAGGAGCGATGTTGCAGGGCATCATCGTAACAATAAACTACCCACCTGAATGACGTTTTGCATAGACTCAAATACTCCGTATATAAGACACTTTCGAATCGTGTAAATCTTCCAAGAAACTACAATATATAGATCAAGACACTCGCAAATCCCGCATATACACATACGGTGCGGTAATAAAGGGAAAAAAAACAACTGTTAAAATGTAGAGAAAAGGGTAGCTCCTCAACACATGCAGTCCAAGTATCTCCTCAATAACAAGGATACAAATATCAGTGGCTCGTGGCTCCAAAGCGAGAGTAAAACCGTATATCCTCAAAGATGAGATCACTACGTTATTATCTAGACAAATAAAGAAACACAGAAGGTTGAAGAAGAAGGAAAGGTGTGGATATTATACTCTACCTCTTCCAGTCTTATGTGCATAAAATTTGTTGAAATTCTCAGTTATTATTGGTACAGGGATGGCAAGAGTCAACACACCCGCGAGAGCACAGATTGATCCTATTATTTTTCCTACGGGTCCCAGTGGATACTTGTCTCCGTATCCGACTGTTGTCATGGTAATGATGGCCCACCAGAACCCGTCCGGAATACTGTGAATATGGGAACCTTCTATACCCATCTCCGCGAAGTATATAGCACTTGAAAAGAGTAATATACACACCACAATCGCAACAAGAAACAGGCACAACCCTTGTAAACTCGCCCTGAATGTTAAAATAAGCACCTGTAGACCGGCGGAGTGTTTGGTTAGCTTGAAAACTCTCACTAACCGTATTACTCGGAGAAACGATAGTGAAGAACTGGATTTGGCGTCTTCGCAACTCATACTCGTGAGCACATTGGAAAGAGTGACGTAATAAGGAATGATTGCGGTACAATCAACAAGGTTCTTGAAGTCTTTGAAGAACTGAGGTTTATTTGGACACACCACGATCCGAATGAGGACCTCCACAGTGAACCATGCAGTACAAATTGACTCGAGGATAAAGAACGGGTCCAAGAAATTAGGGTTACCTTCGGGAGAGCAATGGTTGGTTGCGAAGACTGGTAGTGTTTCCACACAGAAAAGAACAATTGAAAGAAGTGTAATAACAACGGATATTATTGCCACTGCGTAAGCTATACAGGAGGTCTCAGGGTACTCCATGACCATCCAAATCTTCCTTTGCCACCCGCGTTCTGGAAGGACTATCTTTTCCGTCATGTAGCCTTCCTCTCTCCGGTATTCATCAATCATATCTTTCTCGATCTCAAAGAATTCCAACTCCGTGAGAAAAATATCATCCGGTACAGGCTCGGGTCTATTCAGCCTACCCCCGTACTGATAATAATTAAAGATGGCTTCAAATGCTGGTCGATGTCGATCAAAGAAGTATTCATTCCTCCTTTTGTCATAAAACTTCTGTCTTTTTCGAGGGTCACCGAGAAGTGTGGAAGGGTGTTTTTCCAAAGTCCCTCGCCAAGTTTCGAAGTACTGCCCACTGACATTGATAGAGATTCTATCACAAGTTTTGATACTGCATGTATGATTCACAGCCAAGTGCGGCCCACAACGAGAGGCTCCCCCTTTGGTTCTCAATTTATACTCTAAACTGTGATTATTGTTGTGTCTCTCGCCGCTTTGGCTTATCCATAAGTCTCCGCCGTCGTTGTCAACATTCAGTCTTTCTCTGCTGCTGTGTGCACGGCGATACGGAGCCTGGTTAAACATGGTAACAACCGCCATGGCTGCATTTTTCCTTCCAAAATTTCTTCAATCTCTAAATCATCAACCCTCTGTTCCTTCTCCCCCTTGCAAGCAGACGACCGCCAAATTTATCGTCTGCTGCTAACGGCCATAACACTGTGCCGTCCGACTCTCCAAGTATCGATCGATTTTCCAACGACTCGAAGCTTGGCCTCAGGATAGGCTATAGGTTGTCCCTGTGCCGTTTTCACAAGAACTAACATGTTTAGCCAGTCCAAAGTAATATTCACCTTTTGGAACCAATTCCCGCAGTTAACTGTAACTCCTTTCGAAAACTGGCTCCATGAGAACGAAAAATAGAAGAAACGGCGTCTACACTCCCAGCCACTCGTTGTTCACAAGAATTCACCACTACGCATCTTGTTGCCCAGTTCCACTTCGTTGATGTATTTCAATGTCGTGAGACTTGACTCACTGATTACCGCCCCAGCTTCTCGCCCAGCACATTTTCCACACTTTACACAAGCAAACTTGTATGTTCTGGGATGTCGCGTGAACAGTGTGCTTCTCAGTCCGTTGGTTCGGCCTCCACTAATGACCGATGTTAGAGCGTTTACTACTCTCGTTTAATTCTAGTGCGTGGATACACTTGTAACAAGCTTAAATATACACAGGCGCGCTCACATATGTGGCAGCGGTGTTAGCGAAATCCGACATTGATCACTGGCCTAACGTATCAAGTATATATATACACTGCGCCCTCTTCTCCAGCGGGTCTAGGCCAGGCTGCCATTGTGAGAGCCGCGTGTCGACAATACACTACATCCACAATTCATCGCGTCAGTCTTGAAGGCCAACAGGCAGCAAGTCAAATTTAAGAACGTTTTCAAACAGAAGACTTGGCAAACATTTCCCAAAGCTTCCATTGGGACTTAGTCAGAAACCGTAGCATTCAACCTCATCTCAGGGGAATATGATGGAATTGTATGTATATGCAATCCTGCGTCTGTGGAAGGTGAATCATTACTCGTCATTCATGTTTTATCGATATTTAGAAATGGCATTATCTTATGACGACTCTAGCCCTGTCATGACGTGCGCAATGAAAATTGTGATTTCATTTAGGATAATTAATTTTGTAGCTATGAAAATATGTTGATTGAATATTTTATATCAATTTGCAATGTTGACGATTCTTTCATGCTCAAGAATAGTATACCAGCTGTGTAGGGTTACGATCAGTTTATTCTTTTCGATCGGTAACTGTTTACTTGTAAAACATGTTTGTTTTGTTTTGTTTTCGTAACGATAATAGTCTGATGAAAACCAATGTATATATTTTGAATTAAATCTATTCTTAAATGTTAATTAAATAGATTGTTAATAGATGATAATTCTTACACCCTGAATTGATAGGGCTGAGCTCCATACCACAAAACACGTGTGTTATGATCCTTCTCAGTGTGTTAGATGTATATATTTTGAATTAAATCTATTCTCAAATGTTAACTTTTAAATAAATTGTTAATAGATGATAATTCTTACACACTGAATTGATAGGGCTGAGCTCCATACCACAAAACACGTGTGTTATGATCCTTCTCATTGTGGTAGATGTATACATTTTGAATGAAATCTATTCTTAAATGTTAACTTTTAAATAGAGTGTTAATAGATGATAATTCTTACACACTGAATTGATAGCGCTGTGCTCCATACCACAAAACACGTGTGTTATGATCCTTCTCATTGTGTTAGCTTTATTACTTCAGCGAATGGCATATTACCAGTTAGTGCGGGTCATTCCATGGGCTGGTTTGAGACATTGTCCTGGCTTTTTTCAGCAACGTGTGAATCATTGACATCTGAAGGGAGCTCTGATGTGAACCAGAAAGAGTCAGACTCATCAAACGGAAAGGTAACAAAACGTTCCTTTAAGCCTCACAATTGAAGACAAGATCATTTAGAGTTTAATCCTTATAGTCGACATCTCGTTATTCCGGACTGGACAGCATAACTTGTACTTCTGGTAAATCTTCTGGGGAAAGTTGGCCGACCATTGATAATCGGATCGATAGAGTAGGGAGGATGGGTTTGTAAAAAAACCCATTTGTACCAGTAACACCTGGTTCCTTTGAATTTACACATATACGCGCACGTACGCGAACGTACGCGCGCGCGCACGCACACACACACACACACACACACACGCGCACACGCACTTCTCCAGACATGCCTGGTGGCATTAACACATTTCACAGCTCCTACTGCCACAGCAAACAAAAGCGTGTTTTGGAGCACTGACAGAATAATACGCTGTCTCTAACAAATATACACATGCATAATATTCCATGACCTATAATCCTAAATTAAGGTTACACGGACGATTTCACAAAGGCCGGACGGGTCGGATTAAAGGGAGTTCGATATGAAGGTGTCCATTACACTATTGGACCTCGATGCAGTTTATATTAAGGTTCCTCCGTATCTATGTTTCAATTAACGTTGTTGGCAGATGCTCAAAAATTCCTTTCTGATGCAAGAATAAGCACTTTCCACTTTAGCCTCTGCCAATCAACCTTCCACAGACAGATTTGTATTTGGTCTATTTGTGGATATTTTAGAGAAAACTTCAGTTTCGAGTGTTCAAATATTTATATCACCCTTTTAAATAGATCGATAGACGCTAAAATGAAAACCACGGATCACATGTACAGGCAGAAAAAGGATTTAAACAGGTGAATCACAACGGTTCATTGTGCCCCAGTGAACACACAGCGGTCTACAGGAGCATGTCAAACACTTGCGTAAGAAGAGAGCTGTCAAGGTGACCTTGGATGCGAACTCATATGAGTTGTTAGCTGCTAAAAAAACATCCAAAGTAATTGAAACGCACGTTTATTATTGTTTCACAAATTAGTGCAAAGTCAATCGCAAACCAAATTATGACAGTTTGGTATGTGATTGGCAAAGATACTCAATCTCAGAATGTGTGCATACTTCTTTGAAGGTGCAAGATAAAAAACATCATTTATTGACAGATTGCTTTCAAAGCGATTTATTGGCTGTTGGGAGACAAATTCCTAAATGACATAAACCGACGGACAAAAGAAACCATACCTCTGCGATGATATAATCATAGGTTTAATTTTCAAATCTTAACTTAAAAGATTATGTATGTAAAATGTATGTACTGGTGTTTAGTCAGCTCTAAAAGGATACTTGTGCATGTTTGGGATTTGTTTAAATAGAATTTGATTTAAAACACTTAGAAGTTCAAACTTTCATAATACAGAACTGCTGACGGAATTCGTAGACATCTTATTTGTGAAAACCAATAAAAATAGTTTTTTTCAGCACAAATTTACAACATCTCAAATACGGTGGGTGTCATGTGGTTGCAGATATACTTTCTCATCCCAGTTTTCAATGAAGGAAATTATGTTTACACACAGTTACATCGCCTCAGATTACTTTTACAAACTGTTGCGGGAATGAGTGATAGTAAAACAGAGGTAATCAAATTTAACAATAACTCGTTCAACCTTCCATTGCATGAAAAAAACATTTCGGTTAACTTTCTTTTGCCCCTATTAATTACTTTTGTTTCACTAACGTAAACTCTAGAACGACGTCGGGATTGATAAAACGGAGACCCCTTCATGGTTAAAAGTGTTTACATAAAACACATTGAAACATTCATTCGTTGTGTATTTTAAAGTTAATGACGATGTAACACATTCTTCTCGTAAACATGGTGGACATGATATACATGTGCATATACACATGTCGTGCTTGAGAATATTTCGCTCATATGACGACGTGCATGCGTGTGTATGTGTATGTGCGGCTGCTTGTACTAGCCCAGACTCAAGCTGGTTTTATAGTGCTAGCCCACTGAGATACCATGCCGCAGAGAAGCATGAATACCCCACTCAGACACATTATACTGACTCCGAGCCGACCAGTCCTTGTTGTACCCATTAATGCCGAGCGCCAGGCCGGGACCAACAAGTACCACATTTTAACGTCTTTTGGTATGACGCGGTCGGGGATCGAACCCGCGACCTTCCGCTCTGCGGGCGGAAGCTCTAACCACTACACCACGGAGGCAGTCGCATATACACAGTGACATCATGGTAGATTAAGCTTGATGTTGCTGAATAGATTAACGATAATTGCAGTCTGTGGCCGAATACCAACTGTGACAAATAACTGTGTACTTACATATCCCTCATATTTTACTTTTAGTATTAATATTCTCAAATAGAATTATACGTCATAAGAACATATCACGTTAACTATTCTGTATTGGGGAAAGGGCACAAATAACAGCGTCTGGTACAGTCTGACAGAGGCCATTTCATGTTAATCGTGCAGGTATTTAACCCAACGTGCCTTAATTGAATAAAACAACTATTACACATCACACAGTTCTGCATGGTTGACCGTATCCATAATGCATGTGTTATTTTATGATAATTATCGACACAGCTGTTCAGCCAGAGTTGCGGGACACGATGCAAACACGGGCGATCGGAATTCACATAATGAAATATACTGTCGCTCTGTTATAGTATTTATGGGGCGCTTCTAATACAGACTGCACTTGACGTGTCTCGACCAATACATGCATGTCCATGTTGAGACCAAATACCGTTCACTATGCACGTAGATATACAGTTACAAACGTCCTACTCAAGGCATGCATGTACGTAAGTAGTCTAATATGGTCCCGTTCAATGAATGCATGTACGTGTACAGACTGAAATCGTCCCTTTCAATGAATGGGTGACTGTACGGGCCTTATCATCTCGTTCGAAGTGTGGATTTAGAAATTTAGGTCACATAATCCCGTTCAAGGTATGCATTTATATATGTAGTCCACATCATCACGTTCAAGGTATGCATGTACAAATGTAGTCAACATCATCACGTTCAAGGTATGCATTTATATATGTATCCAACATCATCACGTTCAAGGTATGCATTTATATATGTAGCCAACATCATCACGTTCAAGGTATGCATTTATATATGTAGTCCACATCATCACGTTCAAGGTATGCATTTATATATGTAGCCAACATCATCAATGCATGTAGTAGCCCACATCATCACGTTCAAGGTATGCATTTATATATGTAGTCCACATCATCACGTTCAAGGTATGCATTTATATATGTAGCCAAACATCATCACGTTGCATTTATATATGTAGCCAACATCATATGCATTTATATATGTAGTCCACATCATCAGCAAGGTATGCATGTAGCCAACATCATCACGTTCACGTTCAAGGCCAACATCATCACGTTCAAGGTATGCATTTATATATGTAGCCAACATCATCACGTTCAAGGTATGCATTTATATATGTAGTCCACATCATCACGTTCAAGGTATGCATTTATATATGTAGTCAACATCATCACGTTCAAGGTAGCTAGTAACATATAAAGGTAGCTAGTAACATATAAAGGCCGCATCATCCTGTTCAAGGTATCCGTTTGCATATCAGCCAATTCATCTCGTTCAAGGTATACATTTACATAAATAGTGCACAGACCGAAATCTACACGTTCAACGAAGGCAAGACTGCACATGTAAAGGCCAATGGTATTTGTGTGTGTATTCACGCCACAAACTACATGTTCCTTGTATGCATCTGCATATATGTCATAAACTACACGTTCAATGTATGCATGAACATTTAAAGGCCATTAAATACATGTTCAAATACTGCCTGGAATGGAACGAGTGATTTAGCTAAGTAATACTCTGTGAATCGAACTACTAGGCTCTACTAAATCAGCTGAAGAGACGTATGACCATTGAGAAATATAAATTGACATCTCCGTATTACATTAAAAAGCGCTCACTACTTCAACATTACGTTAAAAGTAATCTTTCGAACACTTTCAAATCTTTACATAACGTTACTTAACATATTTAAACATGTATAATTATGTATGTGTGTGTGTGTGTGTGTGTAAGTGCGTGTGTGTGTGTGTATACACAGATTAAAGAATAATAGATATGTAAGTTTATAATAAATTCATTCTAATCGATGTGCAATTTTCAA